GATTATTCTATTAGTACATAAATTGATCATTTCATCTTTCCCCAAGGCGTTTCCTTTGTATAATTTGCGGAGATTGCCTTGTGTCTCCAATATCACTTCAGAGTGCATATATTGTCAAGTTATCTCTTTAACCAAGGACGAAAACCAAACTAAACAGCCCTCGATCGTTGGAAAAACAGAAGAAAGACGCCAATATCTAATTACTTCATTAACTCGATATGGAGCAAGTAATATTTTATTCCAATTATCATAAATAGTGTTCATACTTCCATGTGATATGCTCTGGAAATAGGTTTAATTTCCAATTTTCAAATGTGTTGACCAAGATCACAGATTAATCTTTTGACTTCTTGGTCATATTTCATTGATTCCGAGATTTAATGTGAGGCCACAACCATTTAATGTACTTGTTACTGCCCATTGATCGGTTATAATCACGCCTTTATTCAGGAGTTCTAAACGGACATGATTAAACTCTTACGTGTACATTTACTTCAGATATAAGGAAAGCATATTTGCGTACTTGCCAAGCCCGGTGATATTCACGAGATGGGATATCCTCACGTCACAATTTTCTAACTCAAAAAGCAAAAAGTAAACCCACCATGCATGTGATTAATTAAATGAACTAATTATCAAATACAGGCAATTAAATAGTAACTAGCTGATGTTTTTACCTTTTAATGGGCAAGAACAAAACAATGATATACATGTTTTTAACCTCCTTTTGTATTATTTTGAGGGAGCAGCAATGGCTCAGTGATGTGGATCGGATAGGCTAACGTGGAAAAAGCGTCTAGTTGTTCGGATGGGACGACAAAGCGAGACCTCGTGTGTCACATGCTGTACACGATATAGACCATACGACAGTTCGAAATCATAGACAGTTGTCTTGGCAAAATGTGCCTTCTTGCACACTGCATGGTTTTAACTTTTTCATTAGCCCAATAAGGTGCATAAAAGTAAGACGTAACGAGCTGTGGAGTCACTGAAAGAATCGTGGCTATAAATGAACCCACATCTGAAATAACCTTGACAGTTTTCATTGAGAACTTACGGACATCAGATCCAACCCAACGCTCATTGTTAATCATACCACTCTTGACGTTACTTTTATAAACCCATTTATCGTCGGTTATTGGACTCATTATAGAGGAAATAGTTATGTTATACACGGTTATTTGTCGATTAGGTGGTTTTTATCAAAGCTTTTCCAAGTATCAGTCTAATGGGGTGAAATGAAATAGAAAACTTAGCTTTTGTTCGTAGTATATTATGCTGAAGAGTTAACAGGAAACCATTCTATATATTGACCTTATATTTAACAGAAATCTTTCTGGTACATGATTTAAATACCGATCACATCAATAATATTTCCTGTGCAAATTCACCCAAATCGATTAGTGTCATATTTCCACACAAAAGGGAAGTAACTTGGTTGGACAAAAGATTGATTTGGTGACAATTAAAGCGAAAGTTGACTATACGGATATATGATTCAAGTTGGCGTACTCTTGAGGATTAGATTGATCACCTTATTCAACTAAATATATCTAGGATCAATTCGACCAAGACTGTCTACGCCTTTGAGAGATAAACATCTTTAATCAAACAAATATATCAATATGAAACTTGCCATACTATGATTTATTCAGTAAATTTCTGAACTCTTTTAGTCTAGATGAACTTTATAGTTTGATGAATATTGTTATTGTAATGAGGACATTTATCAGGCAATCTTAGTTGGCAGTCAATGATTTATCTAACCAATATCATTTGTTCAATTTCAGCCAAACCCAGAAATGTCCTTCAGAGTCATTTGTGTGACTTTAATGATTCAATAATTATGTTAATCTAATATATGTTCATCACGTGCGAACCTCACACAATTTTACACAAATAGATTGTATATAGTTACACCAACTATGCTCTGAACCACTGCAATGCCTTTACAGACCATAATTCCTTCAGAAATACCTCAAACAGGAATTTCTGTTCACTAGTTTAGATAGATACCCGAAAATTGTTCGTCTTGTTGATAAGGTCTAATATAGAAAATACGGTGAACGGATAATTGTTGAAATTAAGTATAATTGCGACAGTAAGTTGTGAACAGTTAGAAAGCTTAAGATTTCCAAAACCGGACCATATTTATTTATCAATTATCAGTGACAATACAGTCATGTGTATTTGTCTGCAGGAATGTTCAGTTTACTGATTTGTATAATTCGGTAATGTAACCTTACTGGTACACAATTGATTCCATGTAAATTCCCATAACCAGATAAAATCAAATTAGAACAAACATTGCGTCGGTATCGGTAAACAATTAAATTCTACTTAAGTAGCTGGAGGCATCGGGTAAACATATTTTTAAACCTTTCACATTATATAATTGCCTACAAATTTCTCAGAAAATTATACAAAACTATTAAAACTGTACTCTTGTTTTTAATTAATATGAAAATCAACCTAGTTTACTTATATCAATAGCGTTCAATATATATACATGTATTAACCTTTCCTATAAATATTCCAATGGGTCTTAATAACAGTACAGTCTGATAATTCCATGTACGATGTTCACTAATACTCCAATCTAAACCCATTTAAAACTAGAGTAATTCCATATTGTTAAAGCTAATCATGTACATGTCCCTAGTGGTTTACCGTCAGTCTTCAAAAGGTTGTTATCCAGCTTCTTAGATCATCGACCATCCCAGAAATTTATATGGGTGACATTATCAAAAGATTTGGCATTATCAATAACTTAACTTTCGTGATACGTCATAATAACTATTACCGCATTAACAGTTTTTATCAATAATATGGGTAAAGAAATTTATGTTATATCACATTCCATTTACCTCTGATAAAACGTGTATTAATTGCCTTACTGCATGTAACCTTTATAATGGAACCAGAGTGGGCGATTGAATTCTTCTCATTTGTTCTTATTGGCCGTTTCATTAGGTTCCATTTCGTTGAGAGGTTAATAACAACATAAACATCAGGTGCCTCTCTAGGAAACATCAGGTGAGTGGGCCGAGCAGGCCCCATAAAATTTTAAAGTGGTTCACAAACCATTCTTTTACTATGAAACATGATGTGGGGAAGGATGGGGGAGGTGAGGTGTATTTCTGGTTCAAACATAAAATGTTATAATTTTAGCATCAGTAATTAGAAAGTGTTGCTCTCTTCAGATGCTTAAGATATATCATAGTTAAAAGCTGCTTTTCAAACACAGATACAAGTGTTTTTGGTGGAAACTAATGATAATATTAGAACTATCAATTTCTTTCCATTATGCCTGTGTATTAATGAGCTTCGTGAACAACTCTAAACGGATTTAGCTACTAAGAAGCGTAATCTATCCATCAAATGCTTATAGGTTAAAGGGACAATGTCACCATTAGAGAGGATTAATAATGGGTCAGCATACTTGCCTGATAAAAGACAGACCATATTATTAAACGCTGAAACAGGACATAGAACTGAGTCTGGAATTGGAAGGGGTATCGTTAAGACTCGTTCACCAAACTGTATAGTTTTAGATCATTTAAATTTTACCAATAATCCAGTTTTGTGACGAATGACGTCCCTAATACACAATAGCCTGCTTCAATCAAATACAGTTTCAGGAACCAAATTAGATTTGGGGCACATAAGAAAAAAGGCGAAAAGAAACAAACACCAATAAGTGACCTCATTAATGTCTGCCATATTATGCAATATATGATAAAATTCAACTAATAATTCCGGAGTAATAGGACTGGCTCTCTTCTGACAATGAGGATTCAATTCCACGTAACATTAATTTGAGTTCTAAAGAAATCGTATTCTAACAGTTTATGCAACAATTTAACACCATATAGGTAATTCTTAACAAAACTGCGACTTAAAAATTGAACATACATGATTATGGTTTCAAGAGAGGCTGGTAAGGTGATTAATTCAAAAAAGGTACAGAACAAAAAGAATGTTTTCAACTGACATCTTAAATTTCGGTTGGTACCAATGGAAAAGGCAGCTCTTGAAGATTTTTTAGCATCAGCCCTCAAAGACTTGTGCAATTTACCTTCAAATCAAAGTTGATTTAATTAACATTATCAATCATGAAATTCATAAAAATAATCTAAGGGTAAAGTACATTCGACAGGATCAAGCCCTAGTGTTTCGTCAAAGAATTTTTCTGTCGCTTTTAGGAACCGTATTCAAAGGGGATAAGCAAAATTCATTAAACGAGGGACTAGTGAAATGACCCACAATAGCATCATAGCTCAACTCTTCCTCAACATACAAATCAACTGAAAATGGAAAGTCTGCAGCTCCCTTGTGGTTCCGAGGTTTCCGAATTTGTGGTACTTTGCCTGAAAAGTATTAAGGAAATCCAAATTGTACAAGGTCGCTTATTATTGAATCCTTATAATCTACCAATGTGTGTCATAGAAAGTCTACGTTTACTTTGGAGTAAACTGGAATTTTACACCACATAAAGTTTGGTAAACTAGAATTTCGAATTGATTCATTTGCTTTTACAAGTCAACATATTCAACAAAGTTACTTTTAACGGTTATACCCGGAGGGGTAACACAACCCAAATTATCGGTCGAGGTATAAGGTTGCAGTCATATGTTATCAAAACTTGTATGGACATACATCGGAGCATTCTGGGTCCTCTAGCTTTATTCCACCCTTTTTCCAACAGGCAGCACATATGTGGAGCACACTTCGAGGCTGACCGCGTATGGTATAGGTATGACCAGACATTTGCAAGCATTTATTACGCTGGAATAAGGTACAAAACCATCTTTGGTTGTATTGGGAGAATCAAATTTTGGTTTGAATGTAGGTTTCTGAGTAGTTTTCCTTATGTAAGGTACTAAAATGGTGTCGAAATCTCTGTTATCATCAAACCAATCAGCGATTTCCAACTCTACTTTTCTGACAAAGGCATCATAAAACTCTAATAGTCCTTTCCACTCGTAAACATCAGTCAGTTATACAATTTTCTTAAGCAAAGCTAACCTCCCATCTCTCTCAACGCTCAAAGTTTCTGAATTCGACAGAATTTTTAATTCCCCTGCTACAAAAAGATTTAGTGGCAAATCAGCAAAATTATAATTCTTGCTTGCATGTTGGAAATGGAGGGAAGCGTGAGGCCAACGTCGTGGGCAAACGACCATGTCGCTGGATCTCGCGTTAATACCAGATTTTGTTGATATTCGTGGTCTGGTTTTTGACCTGTCCTTTTCAAAACTCATGCTAACATCGGAGTCGCTGTCGGAGTCAACTAATCCAATAGAAGTCATTCTATTGTCAACTTCGGCACCTAATTGTGACATCTTCCTCAGATCTGTCAATTTCAGTCCAGATTTTACGTTCGAAATAGTAGGCATACCTTTTGTGGACGCTAAAATTTTCATCTCTTCTAACCTCTTTCGACATTCCATCAGCTCTTTCTTCAAGTTTGATTTTCTCATTTGCTTTTGTAAATGCTCAACATCTATTTGGTTTCTTTCGATTTCTGCAGCCATATCTTCCTCCGTAATTTCGTCATCGTCGTCCACGAAATTTTCAGTATCTTCAATTGATATTTCAAGCTCTAGAGGCACAATCAAACTATCATCAGAGCATTCACTAACCTCAACAACTTCAGAGGTTTCCCTCTTATTTTGACGTCCTTTAGGCGGCATGATGATAAATTTACTCCGACATTCAGAAAATGACTTTACTCGCTAAAATTAAAATGCAAAGTGAAGATATTAAGTGAAGTGTTAAGAAAGAGGTGAACTAATCTGAACATAATGGTTAGTATGGTCAGCTATTGAGTAGGAGTGAAATCTAATTAAATCAGCTTAACATAATAGGTCAGATCAATACTACTAATCAACAAAATAATAATCAGTTTACTGTAGGACAGACAATTAAATATTTTATACATAAAATACTTAAATTATTTGAAAAGATGGTGAAAAGCATAATTTAAAATCACTGGGATAAATTCGAGTTATACCTCTCTTTATAGAGTTACCTCTCTTTAAAGAATTAATTATGTTGTGCAGAATATCTGTTTTCAAACGTATAATCTAGCAATATTTATTCATAGTTATGAAACGTTCCCGAATGTGCATACTTTGCTTAATTTTATTTTGTATTTGCGAATATTGGATCTCATCAACAATACTGGTGAAAAAAGTAGACTTACGTCTTTTCTCTAATGATCGCCGGTAGTAATTACACACATAAACCAAGAAGAAACTCGATCCCATTACAGACAGTAACTAAAACAATGTGTTACAACCCTTAAAGAAAGTTATAATTTCAATAACCACTACTTTCTTCCGAATACATGTTATCTATGAAACTAATAGTAAACTATTGAACATACGTACATTATGATTGCAAAATTTAAAAGATTTACTTTTAATTGATATTCTTTTACGTACAGGGTAAAGGTATAGGTCATTATTATATGTATCCAAATCGATATTTTCTCTGTAGTAGTAATAAACCTAAAGTCATATTCGCTGTCATGAGCCTAACTACTCATTTCGAAATACATGTACCCCAATATGATATTCCTTCCATTCACTTTCCAGAAATATTTTTACAAGCAAACGAATTACTTAAATGGAATTGTCGTGACATGGGCATAGGAATGAATTGAGCAAAACAACAACGTTAATTGTCCCGATGGTAATGAGAATTATCCCGGTGGTACGGATCACTGAGACGATCAAGTAGGTTCATATCGTTGTAAGCAGACGTCAAATCGGATAACGTAACAGAAAAGGTTTGTTGTTAAAGGCCGCAATCTTTTACAGTTACATTGCTTTCATGGCTGCTGTTATTTGGCATGAGATACGGAAATGCAGATATCAATATTTAGTTTCAATTTTTATACAGCTCACTACTTGCTACTATAATCTGACAAGATTCCTTTCTCTAAATCGTCTTCTGTGGATTCTGGACCCGATAGCATCAAACATTGTCAAAAGGTAAGCAAACCAATCCAAAACAATGAAAAGATAATGTTCTAGAAATATCCCAGAATAGCATTTGATAGGTTAAATAGTAAATGATCCAGACGGGAAACAGTTTCGCCAGATCGTGGAATGCGTTGGGATCATCAGCAGATAAAGTAGGTAATGCATCCAGATTTGTATTTTAATCAGATTGAAAAACTATTACTTGGCAGAAGGCAATATTCAACCTTATGTCAATTGATGATTATTCCATTGGAGCATAAATTGATCATTTCGTCTTTCCCAAGGCCTTTTCATGGAATAATTGGCGGAGATTATCTTATCTCTTTAACATTACTTCAATTTCCGTTCGACAGTTAACTCATACTGATACTATATAATCTAAACAGAACATTAATCTTGTCTAGCCAAACATTCGACCATTTCTGGAAATTTTGTCTTGGTCTTCATTAGTCGCGTAAGGCGCAGAGCAGTTGGACGCTCGTCTCCAATTCAATCAAATTGGGGAAGACTTTTGGCCTTTCTTCTTTTCAACTAAATATAATGATACATAATTCAAGAAGTGATGATCAGGGAAGTTACACTACATTTCATCATCACTCTTTACTTCCGTGTAGCAAGCAAGACAATTTTAAATTGTTAACTTGACACATATTACCAGAGTTCACATTGCTGATGGTGTTGCCTTTGTTTTACACTGTACTCTGTCTCTGGCGTCTGAGTATAACGACAATCTGAACAATCAAAAAACTTTATAAATTCTCGAAATATGTATGTCAGAAAAGTATCTCTGAGTGATATAACATTCTTTGAAGTACGAATTCAGACACAATTAAGTGGAACCGACAGGCAGATAATGCTGTATAATTATTTAAATTTAAAAATCTACCGTACAAATTAGCTGAAAACAACCCGATAGCAATTGATAACTTCACATAATGTGTGTTTTACATGTATGTCTCACAAGAAATGCAACAGAATACACGGTCGGTAGGTTGGTAGATAACAAGTTACCGTTCGCTTCCAGCCGGTGCTGATATCGCAAACTAGATAGTCGTAGTAGAATACAAAAGTTTGGTTGGTGTATATACCACATTCATATGACGTAGCTTGTCAGAGACGGTAACCTTTGTTCATCTTTAGTTTAAATCATGTCATTTCAACAACAGCCTTGAACATTTTAAACTTTGAGTCATACTCTAATATACAATGGTTGTACCTATTAACAGGAATAGAAATCATTCAATTTACGGATTTTACATTGTCCTTGTGCAATATTCAACAATTCCAAGACCTTGCGCGACATGTATGTAGACGATATACGCTCCGCAATCGCTTCAGAACGTTTGTATCATTCATTCCATGGACTGCTTTTTAATCAATTCGCTACACAGGAGGACGTTATAATGTCTAATTAGACTTTCCACAATCATTTGCGTAAATCCATCTGGCTACGAACAATGAACTAACAATCCTCTACATGTTTACGATCGTTTCATTGTTTTGCTGTGGTTAGAAATGGAAAATCAGATTAGACAAGTGAAGATTACTGTATGTGAACATGAAACGAAGGGAGTAATCATCGGTTTCAATTTCTATTAAGAGTATTATGAGTAATGGGAATCAAGAAGGGAATAATATATCTTCTCACGATATACTTACGACACCTTATTAAAGAAATTAAGATGGCTTGATAATGTTCGGTTATTTATGAACCATTTGATCTAATGGACTATATTAAAACAGATCTTAAAGCAACTTAAGACAATGGAATGAAATTTTATGTTATTACTACCCTGGTTTATTGTAACGTACAAAAATAATAATACCAACGAATATAAAGTGGTCCTCACATCATAGCGAATAAGACTAGATTTCAAACGCAAGTCGCATGAGACTGAGTTGTGAATTGCGTTGTGCGGGCATCTTACTACTGAAGAAACTTAATCCTGGTGGTAGAATTCACCAAAATCGGTAACAGCCACTATTTATATTCTAAATTTGTCTCACGTAACCTTCAAACGCAATAAAATATCATGGCACGGAATGAACCACACTCGAGGTTACCAGATTTTGCTTATGAAAAAAATAACTACAATTTAAATCATTAAAATCAATCACTTCTGTCTGGAGAGCTACTAAATAGTTAACCGTATTTTTTTTAAAGCCAATATCTCTTTTTTGTGAATATTTGTGTAGTACAGGACCAGTTTGATTTTCTCTTTTTCAATTACGAGTAGAGTATTCTTTTAGTTATAAAAAGACGAAGAAACTTGACATGCATATTTATATGGGAAAGATCTCGGGATTTTTGATGAAAAGCTTTTGAGTTTTTCTCCTGAATATTAAGCCCAAATACTATAAAAGAGCTTCCGTTTTGGTAACTTGATATTTATAGCAATATCTTAGATGAGTTCATAATGCCGTTGCATAACCTAATATGAAATTTATCAAAATGATTCATTTTACTAACAGATTCAGAAATGAGAGTACACTACAAATTTTAGAAATAAATAATGCCCATTTCAATCATTCTCGTGTCACTCTTGGTTCAAATTGTAACTTCCATTTTGATTTGCTCTGTTGAAATATAATAAAGAGGATTATTTATCCGCTTATCCAATAAGTGACATTGGCAACTGATAGAATGTAATATATAAATAATAATCACCTAGAAATGCGGTTACATCCGATTCCATTACCAGAATTGTTATTAAGACATCTGAAGTTACTGACCGTTTCGGTTTAAATATTGTGTCCAAAACGTACAACGTATTCATTCTTTTAGTTGTCTAAAGGCTTAGTAAGGCTGAACAACTTACGATATAGGTAGAACTTTTACATTCAAAAGTCCATGATTATTTCTAGAAATATGACCCGAATATATTGCCTAGTAGCGAATAGGTAACCAATATAAAGTTTTTAATTTTTGCACCATTGAGCTTTAATCGTTCCCCAACAGGTCGATTGAAACTGTAAACTGTTATTTCTTTACGGAATTCAACATTGGTGACTGTGGTCTGTAATAAACACGCTCGGTTGCACCCCTTTACGGAATATGTGTATTCTATAAATTTGCATGTTTTCGTATCTCATGTGATTTTAATATTGTCTTTCCTAGTTGCTTCGGTATTCCTAACATTCTTATCTTAATACTAATGAGAGGAGCAACTAATGTACTTTATGTGGGATCTTGGGTAGCTGAACACAATCTATGTATGGTTACTTCAAGGCTAATTTTCATTTCACCTAATATATATTTCAGCAAACAGATCGTACTTAATCGAAATTTCGCCAACAAATAATTTGTTCGGTCAGGCTATATAGAGCTTACATGTCTAGTTAGAAATAAAATATTGCGCAGCTGCCTTAGATTAAAATCAACAGTTTATATCCAGTATTGGGTAACAATGAATGCTCACTAAATCTGGTTTTAAGTTTGCCTGGTTTAAATTAAATTTCATACAACCACAAAATAGCTTTCATTCTCATGCTGTAGCCTCACCTTGAGGTAAACAACAAGTTTTGTAAAGAAGATTTGCAACTTTAAGACAAGGCTTTTTGGAAACAACCTTTAAGGCCAAATTTACTTTCCATAGATAATGCTTTTTGATCGAAACTTACCCACGAGTAGCAAATTTAAGGGATTCAACATTTAACCATAAAAAAATATCCATGCCTAGCAGAGTCCTCTGCAACTTGAAGCA